CTTCCGTACCTACAGCAAGACACGGCTGCATGCCCAACTCTGATCTGTGGAACCCAAGGTGTGCCACAAGCCAAAGGTTGCATACGGCATGGGTTAAACGTTTTTCCAGCAGCTGACCAAAATTGTCAAAAGGAATATTTCACAGGTACATTAGACTTTCAAATGAGCTCTCAACAAGAGGAAGGATGCGGACATGAGCAAAAGGAGTTACCTCGAATTACAGGACTATTTCCACATATGAACTAGCCAAGAGAGCAGCTCTCGTCTCAGAGGTTTCTGTTGGAGGCACAACACTTCTTTTCTCCAAGGACACTGCAGTTTCCATTTGCTAGCAAAGAATTCTTAGAACTTGTAAGCAATGACACAGCTACCTAAGCCCGGCATTCCCCTACATCGCACACGCGCTCGGCACGCAGGGAACAGCCCAGGGACTACAGCACTGGCTCTTCTCTACAGCTTCCCAGTGTAGGCTACAGCAGGTTTTGAGCAAACATCCATTAGGCCTTCCTGACATTCCAGCTGCGCTTTGCTCCTAACACACCCTCAGGTTTGTAGTTCCAGCCTCTAGACAAGTTGGACCGTTTTATGTGAAATTTGTTGGCCAATTCACATGTCAAGACCGATTTTAGGATTAAATTCCAGCACTTGGTCAATCGTCTGGCTGGCTCTGCCACTCTCCCTAATCTTCTCCTCTCGCTCCCAGATTGTTCTTCGTCTCCAAGGGTTGTGTTGTGCAATGAAATGTAAATGTCAGGAGCAGAGTTCATTTCAGACGGTCTTTTAATAGGCTTCGTAAAGCCAAAGAAAACTGTATACAGGAATCCTTTACCACTTCAAATACAACAGCAATGGAATATGCATATTTCTTCCAGTAAAAAAGGACAATATAAATAAACATTTTCAAGAACCTCTTTATGGTAAGTTTGCAAGTCTAGTTCTGGGTCATTTACATCGTTACAACAGTAAAAATACCGTTATGCGGGTTGAACATACAAGCACGTTTCTCTTTAGATATATCAAGGTGGTTTGCCTTCCAACGGAACCCAGGCCGCATTCCTACCTTGCTACACTAAAGGAATGTTACAAAAGACGAAGGTAATGCACTTGAAAAAAAAAAAAAATAGTCCACAGCTTGTTCAGCTTCCAGTGAACATCGGTTCAAAGTCCTTTCTAGCTCAAAAGAAACTGAATTGGGGCCCCAACTTTAAAAAAAAAAAAAAAAAAAGTAACACCTTGGCTCATTCATGGAGGATAAAATAAAATCTGAAGTGCTTTCAAAAAAGATTAAAACCACTTGAAAGCAGAGCTTTCTCCAAGACAGTCTAATCAGACCATCTCATTTCAGAAGCTGCCAGGCTGTGTTTGACAAGATCAGAACTGATAATACTACAAAAGTGAAAATACAAGTAGATGTACTACACAATAACCATTTCAGCGAAGCTCCAAAAATCTTTATAAATACAGCCATTGGAAGGACGATCTTGAGTCAGGAAGGATTTTTACTCGTTGTGTGTAGCTGAGGACAAGAAGCAGGCACAATTGTAAAGGCACTGAAGCAAAGACAAGTTCCAGCATTTTACTCCCTTGCATTATTCCGAGGCTACTGCTACTTGGCTACTGTGAGATCCCCCACCCGCGGGTCAGAGCGTAAGGGCAGCCAGAACAACCTTTTTTAACACTTGCTTTGCCTTAGATCCGAGCAACTCCTGCACATGCATTAAATTAGAATCTCCCGGCACCACCACGTCCACAGCCTGAGCCTGCCCCACTCCAGGCTCAGGCTCAGCAGGTTCAGAGCTCCTACAGCACACGGACTCAGCGCTCCCGCTCGGAGCGGCACTTACCGTAACTGTCGTAGCTGTCTCTGTAGGAGCCTCCCGAGTTCCTGTCTCCATAGCCACCTTGACTCCTGCGGGACAAACAGCACCTGCTTCACACCTGCTCTACCCCTCCTGTGACCCCCACCGGGCTGGCAGAGCTCCCCCGCGGCCCCCGGCGCTGCACGGGCCTTACCTGCTATTATAGTAGTCTCTGGAGCCATTATAGCCTCCGCTTCTGGAATCGAATCTGCTGCCGCCATAGCCTCTCTCTCCACCTCCTTGGAAGAACAGGACACGTCGTTTTGTTAGGCAGTCTGACAAGTGACACCCCCCCTCCAGGCCCTGCGGGTCACCCACACCTGCGGGTCACTCACCTCTGGAGAAGCCGCGGCCCCGGCCTCGGCCCCCGCGGAAGAAGCCCCGGCCCCCCGAGGACCCCCCTCTGTAGCCACGGGATCTGTTCTCGGAGGATTTCCCAGCCTGGTCCACTCGGATCTGACGCCCATCTACGGACTAAAACAGAACCACAATTAGCCCACGCAAAGGTCAAACATCTAAACAGCCAAGCACAGATGCACTGAGTTACACAGCTTCACCACCAGCCAAGCACTACCAGAATTTACTGATTCTTACACAAGGAACGCTTTATGTCCTGTCACAACTAAGCCAAATAGACAAATAAATTGGTATTTAAACTGGATATAATTCCTATTGTATAGGAATTCCTATAAAATTCCACTCTTTCGCAGTTACACAGGTAAAATCATAGAATTTTTGTATCAGGTATAAATTGCTAAACACACATTTGTAACAGCATGAAACCATCTTATTTACATCTGTATAATTTCACGCCCTTAAAACACTGGCATTTATCTCTTTTTCCACACAGATTGAACAACAGCACATCTCCCCTGATTCTCTTATGTTTTTGGTAATAAAGAATCAGTTCCAGGGCCTCCTCACCTTTCCGTTCATGGCCATCATTGCGTCCTTTGCATCATCGATGTTTTCAAAAGTAACAAACCCAAAACCTCTGGATCTCTGAGTTTCTCTGTCTTTAACCACCACGACTGTTGAAAGGATGGAAAAAAAAAACCAACACATCAGCACCTGGGGAATGTAACAAGCCAGTGGAAGCCAGCTCGGCTTGGCTCTGCAGTCTCACCTTCCGAAATCTGTCCGTATTTAGAGAAGACTTGCTCCAACGACTGCTCGTTGGTGTCGAAACTGAGCCCGCCGACAAAGAGCTTTCCCTCGTCTGATGCCATCCTGACCTGCCAAACCAGCAGAACCAAGTCAGCGACTCACAAAACACATTCCCAGTGAGGTCCGAAAGACTAAACCGTTCTAAGGCCACCTATGACAACAACGATGTGGGCTCACCGCCGCACGAGGCTCCTCACACGCCACCGAGGCCGCGATTCCAGCGGCGGGGGGGGGGGTCTCCTCCCGGCCGGCCGGGCCCAGCGCCGCCCCCGCGGGACCCCGGCCCCCGCCCGCACGAGCCCAGCGCGCATGCGCACGCCGCGGCGCCGCCTGCCGGCCGGCCCGACCCGACACCGCCCCCTCCCTCCCGCCCGCCGCCATTTTGCACGGCCGAGGCCCCGTCGCCATTTTGTTTCCGCGCGCGCGTTTCCCCCCTCCGCGGCCCTTTCCCCTTCCCCCCCCCCGCCGCATCCACACACACGGCCCAGCCGGGCCCGATCCGCCGCGCTCCCCACGCCCGCGGCTCACACCGAGCGCCGGGGCGGGCGCCGCGGCCCGGCCTACCCTGTGACCCGGCCCTCCGCCCCCGGGACGCGGCTCCGCTCGGCGCAGCCCCCCCACCGGCCCGGCGCGACCGCCCCTCGCGGCGGCACTCACCGGTGCCCGGGCGGTGCGGGGTCGACACAGCACTTCAAAGCCTCAGCGCAATGTACGGCGAGCCTGGCGGGGCGGCGCCTTATAAACGCCCGCGCTCCGCCCCGCCCATTCATGAATATGCAGATTAATCCCGCTGCAAGGCGGGGCGATTACGCCACCAAAGCGCTGCCACCGCCGCACCACCCGATTGGGCGGGATTTCGTTAATATTCATGAGCCGCGGCGGGGAGCGAGGGGAGGGGCGCGCAAACAAACCAGCCGGGTGGCCCCGCCCCCTCCGCCCATCCGGAGGCGGGGCGCGGTGGGCGCCGCCGATTGGCTGCGCTCGCGGGGGCGGGCGGGAGCGCCCCTGTGAGAGGGAAGGAAGTGGAGGCCGCTGATTGGTCCGGGGGGCCGCACGCCCCGTCCACACCGCGAGCTGGGGGCGTGTCCGCGCTGCCCCAGTTTCGCGCCCTTCTCGCAATGCGGCGGCGGCCGCAGACAAAGGGGCCGCCTCAGGGGCCGCCGCCATCTTGGGCGGCGAGCGCTGCCCCCGGCTCGGACCCGGAGGCTCCTCCCGCCGTGTCCCCTCCTGTCACCCCCGGCCCAGGGCCCCGTCCTGTCACCACCCCTCCTCCCTGCCCCACGGCCCGTAGGGAACGATCCCTCCAGCCTCCTCCTCCCAGTGTTGTCCCACACACACAGTTGGGAGAGCTCAGCACGATGAGTGTGAGAAGCAGCCAAAGCAACAAAAATTCTGTTCAAAACATAATAATAAAAGATCTTTGCTCAGCCCGTTTCCCACTGAAATGTTTAAAAGCCCACCCTGAGGTTTCCCTAAGGTGAGAACGCCTCCAGCAGTAAAAACTTCCGTATTGAAAGAGGAACCTGACACAGATAAACGCGTGTCTCAGGGGCTGCAGCGGCCTGAAAAAGCCCTTAAAATAAAAATGTTCAGTGTTTCATAAGACAATTACAATCTCGTGTAGAAAATGCAGAAAAAGTGTTTTAAAATGCAGAAGAGGAAGGAACTCGAGGGAGGGAACAAATATATGGGAGAGGAGGAGACTGGCAGGAAGGAACGGGGAGGAAAACGGGAAGGAAACGCGGCGAGGACGGGGCTGTGGTGTCACCGCGTGTGGGGACAGGACCGGACACACCACGGGTCACTGGTGTGTCCCCCGGCCAGGGACAGGTCTGGCCACATCGGCGCTGCCTCCAGAAATTCCCCGTAATTCCCACTGCAGTTCACAGCAGGAACGCGCGGCCGCCCTCCTTCCGTTCCTCCGTCCTTCCCTCCCAGCTGCACAGAATAAATAAAACCACTGGAGTATGGAAATAAGGACTCTTCGGTGATTGATTTCCAAACCGAGCGCTGAGACAGAGAAAAACAAACCGCAGGGAGATGCAAAGAAATCTGCCTGTGATTGCTCTGTCCAAGCAGGGAGCGTCCATTCCATCCCTCCCAGAGCACGGAAACTGGCCTTTTCCCCCCTGATTTGTTGCTACACCTTCGGGATTTGCAGGAAAAGGGCTGTTTGTAAACAACGCATACAGTAATTACGAAACCCCATCAGTGGTTTCTCTGAGCACACAGGCCTGCAGGGGTGGGACGGTGCCACCAAAGTGCTCAAAAACACCTAAAAAAGCCCAAGATCAAGACAATATTATTATTATTATTATTATTATTATTATTTCTTACTGTGAAAAAATTTACTCACTTTTCAGTCCTGAGAGCAAATTAACAACACTGAATAATGATAATTTACATTTTTATATATATAATTAATTGTATCTGATATATTCTGCAGTAAAGAAGAAAACATCTGTAACAGGAGTTGGACTTCCTTGTGAGTCCCTTCCAACTCAGAATATTCCATGATTCTGTAAATATGCAAAGAGCAAGAGTTAAAAACGGGATGAAACTGCAAATAGAAGGAGAAAGTAGTACAGTATTTTATGCAAATGAGAAAAGTGATTGCTGGTTTGAGACGGGCATTTCAATTTTAAATTCTGGGTCTGAATTACTGAATAAGTCTGGTGGGTTTTTTTAATTCCACCTAATTTTGTGTGGGGCTAATTTTGAGTGGTCTGTCAGGAGCCTGGAGGAGCGAGGAGGTGCATCCGCTGTCATTGCAAATTGATTTCTGCCCTTCAAGAGGGAAAAAAGATCCCAGCCCTGCACTTTGATTAAATTAGCGACCCATTAACATGAGCTTTCTGGCCCGTGCTGAGGGCAGATAAAGCGACCTTGATGCACAGAGCCACCAGCCACCTGGGAGGAGCTGCCAGCCCAACACCATCCCTGCTGCAAACTCAAGGGACAAACACCAGGATTCACGGGGTTTTGACTCCTCGCACGAAGCCAGGCAGGTCGGATGTTACGAGAATAACACTGTGAGCCTTTGCGGCTCCAGAGGAATCCGAGTCCCGGCGGGATGAAAGGCTCGTGGGAGCAGAGCAGCTCCTGTGACAGGGAATGGAGATTGCAGCCCTGGCTGGATTTGTCCCAAAAGGGTGACTTTGGTCTCACCTGGGTGTGTTGGTGCCTTTGCTTTGGCACTGACAGAGTTACCCAGTGGAACGACGAGAGCTGGACCAAGGAAACCACGCTCCTGCCCCAATTCCACAGCTCCCAGGAGCTTTCCGTGCTCCAGATCTGCTCGTTCCTGACCCAGGGCATCAGACACGGTGTGTGTCACGTCAGCCGTGGCCTCGATGATCCTCGTGGGTCTCTTCCAGTGCAGGGTATTCCATGAGCAGGCTGCACACAGGGGCTGCAGCAGCCCTGTGCCACCTGCCCGAGGGGCTCAGGGACATCTCTGCACATCCCACGGGCTCCAGCTGGAAGAGGTGCTGGGATCAGGATGGCAAGCAGCTCACCTGCACAAGTCATTAGGGCAGTTAATTAAGCAATGAAACAACACAGGATTCAGGTCCTTAGATCAAACCTCCTGCAGCAGCAGGGCCCTGCCGGGGGGTCCTGAACACACAGCACCCAAGGCAGAACACAGAGGTCACTCTGCACCAATCCTGCCCCAATCCCTGTGTGAGCTCCAGAGCCTCACCTGTGAGTGTTTTCTCTGAGGGTCCTCACTGAGCAGCACTTGCTGTGGTGTTTGTAGGGACCTTTCCCAGTCTTTGCACTCCTGGCCTCTTTCCAGGGCACACGGAACTGCCCAGAGCTGCGCAGGAGCCCAAACCTGCTCGGCAGCCCTGGCACCTGCTCAGGAGCCAAGGGCAGCCCCCGCCCCGGGCACCACTCTGATGAGGTTCCCAAATCCCAGAGCAGCTCCTCCCGGGAGGGGAGCGCCGGGAGGGAGGATGGGGCAGAGGGTGCCCGAGCGCCAGGGACAGCGCTGGGTGTCTCTGCTCTGGGGCTGTGCCTTACCCAGGGCTGGGAGGGAGCACAACCATCCACGAGCCCACGCCTGCTCCAGGCTCTGGCACCGCGTTCTTCCCCCTGGGCCCTGGGGAGCCCCCAGGACCACCCTCCTGCACCGGGGCACAGCAGAGCCCAGCATGGCCCAGCGAGGCCCAGCACATCCTGAACAGCAGAAGAGCCGCCTTCTCTCCCTTTGTTTTTGCTGGGGCTGCAGGGAAAGTGGGAACGCGAGGCTGGACTGAAGCAGCCATCCATCACCAAACCTCCGGCTCCTTCCCCGCCTCCCTGCAAGCTCAGCCTGTGCCACAAGCAGAGATGCCACAGTGTGGGGAAGGCACACGGAGCCTTTCTGGCACAGGAGCACTCACTGTCCCCAGCACGGGAATTCTCACTGTCCCCGGCACAGGAACCCTCCCTGTCCCCGGCGTCTCAGCCCTGTTTGACCATGCACTGTCCCATCGCAGCCCTGGACCCAGGAGCAAGGAGCAAAACACTGAGCCGGGGCTGAGTTTGGGAACTGGCAGTCCCAAAGCCCCCGGGAAAAAGAATATTCCCTTCTCCCTTACTCCTGTCCCTGAGGGAGTTGCTCATCCAGCTTTGCAGTTGGAAAGAAAAGCCCTGACGCAATCCTGCCGTTGCCATGGCGAGGAGCCGGGGCTGCTGCGCTTCCCTCGGCCAGTTCCTGTGACTGGGATTTACCCAGTTGTAGGACAAAGCCACAGGGAATGGGGGACTGGATCCACAGGAATCAGATCCATAGTGAGTGGGGGGATTGAAGCCACAGGGAGTGGGGGAATTGGATCTGCAGTCATGGGGGGATTGGATCCACCGAGAGCAGGGGGATTGGAGGCACAGGGAGCAGGGGGATCGGGTGCACAGCAAAGAGCTGGGATGCACAGCAGCGTTGGGATACCCAAACCAGAGTATTAGGAAATGAGCCGAGGTGAGGGGGGATTCGGGGCTGGGAATGCCGGTGCACCCCGGCTGAGGTGAGGAAGATGGTGAAAATAAGCATGTGGTAACCATGGCAACCATGGAAGTGCCTTGGCGCTGAGCAGCAGATTTATCAGGGCTGGTGCTTCCCAGCCAGATTATGGAAAACCAAATCCCGTGTGTCAGGCCATCCCTACCTGCCCAAACACAGCCAAATTTAGAAACGACTGCACCCAGCACCCAGCGGCTCTGGCAGCAGCCCTCTCACCCCACGTGGGCCACAGTCAGGTGTTGCTGTGGGATTTGGACCCTTTTCCAGCACTCCCAGCTCGCCGGCATCAGCACAACATTCCAGACAATGTCACACAGCGATGTTTTACCAGCATAAACCCTTCCCCTGCCAGCTCTGCCGTGCTGGAGGGCCTGGCCATGCCATGGCATCCAAACCTGCCTGGGAAACCCAGGTGGGGGCTGCCCCAGCTGCTGCCCCGTGGGGGGCTCTCCCTCCAGCATCCCCCCGTGCGGGATGTGGCTGCTCCGGTGTGGGAAAAGCAGCAGCAGCTGCAGTGACGTGCAGTTTGTTGCTCCCACCTTCCCTCCTGTCACCCTCCCGGCTGCATTAAGGACTCAGCTCAGTTATATAAGCGCTCATTAATCATCATCTAAGACTATTTGCAGCATCGAGTTCTTAAGGGCAGGAGATGCTACCCAAGGACAGGACAAACAGCCTCTGACCGCGCGACACCGAGAGACCTTGTGGGACGGAGGGCTGGAGACGTGGGAAGGATTTATCCACAGTCAGCAGGGGGAAAACTGCCAGGAACCAGGAACACAGCATGGGGTGAATTACACACTGAGGGGAGCCAGCCCCAGTGCTGGGGGAAATCGGAGCTTTTCCAGACCCCTCGTGCCCCTCCACACCCCCCCTCCCACCGGTGATGGCACTGTGGGGACCAGGTAGCAAAACCTCACACTGGGGTTTGCTGCCACAATTTGTGGTGGGGCCGATGGTCCCACACCCCCCTCAAGCCCAAGCCCCCCCATGGTCCAGCTCCCTGCACAAGGGTCCTGGAGCTCATCAGAACCCCGGTGTCCCCCCAGGAGCCCACGTCCCCCCTCTCTCCCTCTTTGCTGCACAGCCCCTCGCCGTGTGCTGCCGTGTCCCCGCGAGGGCACGTGAATCACCTTGAGCCCCACAGCCCCCCCGGGCAGGTCGATTGCCATGGGCACAGGGGACGGCCCGGGCGGAGCCAGCCGGGATCTGCGGGAACAGCCGCGATTGCAGAAATCCCTGAACTGCAGCATCAACGTTTTTTCCTGCCCAGAAGGTTCCCGCGCCCTCGCATGAGCTCATCCTGCACCGTCCCCTTTCCGCGCCTCCCGTAACCCAACCTCTCCCAGCCCTGCGCCGCAGAGCAGGAATGAGACACGGCAGCGGAGCAGATTCTTGGCTCCCTGGGTCGCTCTCCCCGCGCTGCCTCTCGGGAAGCTCCAAGTCATGCGACTCCTCTTTTTTTCCCCTTAAGGTGGGGAAACGAGTCGGGAAAGTTCCCCCGTGCTCCCCCCGCGCTGATCTGAATGGAGGCAGGTAGAGGCAGCGTCTCTGCCTCCAGCAGCACCACACCTGCCCTGGGAGCCGGGCGTTCCGCAGGGAAAGGCCGGATCCTGGCACTGCACAGGCTGGTACCACCCAGATCAGCTGCCCCGAGCTGAGGGAGCAACTCCTGGAGCAAAGAGCTTTCTGGGAGCTCACCCCTAGCCCTCCATGGGGCAGAAGGATGCCCTTCGTGGAGCAGCCAAGACCCCCAGCATCCCACTGACCTCACACCTCTGCAAGGAGCCACAGTGCTCATCCCAGCCCTTCCCAGCATCCCACCTCCCAGTGAGCTTCCTCAGACAAACCTGCACAGAACCCTCTATTCCCCCCAGCCCTCCCTGTATTGCTGCCAGGGAGGAGACGGGTGCCAAGAGCCCCTCTTTGGGGTGAGCTGAAGAGGAGGGGGGGGCTGAGCCCCCCAACGCCCTGTCCCCCTGACGGCAGTGCCACGTAGCCCCGTGCCGCTGGAATCCCTCCCCCGGAGCCCCGGCAGCGCAGGAAGCCGCAGTTGGCTGCTCCCAGCAGCCCAGAGCTGCCCCAGAAAGCTGAGCTCCCCCAGCGCTGCCGCCGTGCCGGGAGCTGGACATGACCTGCTTCCCAACGCGGGATGGAGGATGGGATGGAGCCGCAGGATCCACACCAGCCCCACGCCCCTGAGACCAGCGGAGACCACCAGGAACCGACACCGGCCCACCCGGGGCTGAGCCCCCTCCTCAGGGCTCTGAAAGCCCAGAGAATGCTTTGTTTCCTCCTGGCTGCTGGGTGACCCCGTCCCAGCTGAGGGGTGTGGGGACATTTCGTCTTCAACAACATCTCAGAGCCCCCTCCCCTGCCCCCTCCCAGCCCTGGCAGCCCCTCACCCCTACCCGCAGGCTGCGGGTGAGGGCCAGGGGCTGGCGGGAGGGGGGCTGCCATTGTTCTGCACAAAGGGGGTCCCTGCCAAGGCCCCCCCGCAGCGTCCCACGGGTGCCGTGGTGCTGGGCGCTGCCGTGGCCGTGGCAGCAGAGGGCAGCCACGCCACACGCACCGATCCTGCCCACGCGGCACCGCACGCGTGTGCCCGCGCAGCCCACGCTTGTGCCACGGCCCCGCTGGCAGCAATCCCACATCACCCCGTACCCCGGGGTCCTGTCTGTGTCCCCTGACTCCTGGCTGCAAACGGGGCTGATCCCAGCACCCGGCACCCCCTCAGCACCCCCGATCCCCTGCAGGGCGCTCAGGGCTGCAGCACCGGCAGCACCAGGCTCTGCCCACGTCCACGGGGTCGAACACGTGTGGCCAAAGCGGACGTGGGCTCCCCACGTGGACCCCCGAGCGCAGGGGCCGTGGGTGCCAGAGGGTGCAGGGAACAGCGGGAGCTGCCTGGGGGCAGGCACTGCCTGCCTGAGCCCCCCCAGCCCCAGACCCCCGGGGTCTGCAGCTGCCCAGCTGTGCTGGAGGCAGTGAGTGGTCCCTGGGTGGTCCCAGGGCTTCCCCAGAGCAGGGCCCAGTTCCAGCCCCCTCTGTGCTCCCCTTACATGCCAGAGCCGCCCCCCTGCCCCAGACCCCCTGCAGCCCCCCCGTGGGGTCCCACTGCCGGCGCGGTGCAGTCACCAAACACTGCTGGGCCCCCCGAGCCCCCAGCATGGGACACGCATGCACGTGTGCAGCCACACGCCTGTGAAATCACACATGTGTGCACGGCCACATGCCTGTGAAATCACACACGTGTGCACGGCCACACGCGTGGATCCAGCAGCCCCCCCGGCCCCGCGCCGTGGGCCTGGGCCCCTCGGCAGCCCCGAGCTGCGCCCCACGGCAGCGTCACCATGGCAACGCTCCAGATTTATCAATGGAGACACTGCGGGAAGGCTCTGGGGGAGGCGGGAGGGAGGGGGGGGCTGTGAGAGCTGGCGGAGGAACAGCCGGACAGACGGAGGGTGCAGGAGGGTCTGTCCCACTTGCAGTGCAATGCACAGGCGGGGGTGGGGGTGCACTGTGCACACGCGTGTGCCAGGGGAGCACCAGCACGGTACCCTGGCTGGAACTGGGGGCTGAGGGGCTCCATGCCCTGCGTGGGCACAGAGAGAAGGTCCTGTGGTGGGGCAGCTGCTCCCTGCCTCCATCCCTGCCTGATCTCCTGACCTTGTGGCTGGTGACAGCAGCAAGGGACAGAGCCAGCGGCGGTGGCAGGTCCCAGCTCCAGAGGGAGCCATGGCCGATGTAGGAGTGGGGGACCCTGATCCCAGGGAAGTGGCTGACACAATACCGGGGGTGTCAGGGCCCTGGGGTTCCCCCTTCCTGGGGAAGCGCTGCTGGTTTTGCACGCGGGCTGTGACTCAGGCACCCGACTCTATTCCTGTCCTGTCCCTGACTCAGCTTGTGGCTCCAGGCAGGACACGCTCCCCCCAGCCCCACGCTCCCACCATGGGGAAGGGGAAGTGGCACAGGGACCCGAGGAGCAGCAACATTCCCAGCCTGTGTGGGCCCCTCACCTCGTCCCCCCTCAGCGAGGCAGGAGCACGCAGGGCACCCGCACTGACCCCCCAGGCTGCACCCCCTGCCCTTGGCCTCTCCCTCCCGGATGAGGCGCCCCGACGCCTGGGGATGGGCACAGCTGCCCACGTAACCACACCCGGCAGGAACGTTCCCTGCAGCCGCTTCCAGGAAGGGCTGGAGAGGAGGAGATGGGGATGGCGGGTTCACACCAGCTCAGCACTTTCCCAGCCCTCGCCAGCCCCGTCACACCCGGCTCATCACACGCCTGCTCACACCCACCCCCCCAAGCCCGCCCCGGGCCCCCGGCCAAACCCACAGCAGAAAGGGTGGAAAAAAATCCAGTAAACGACTGACTGACCGTTTTCCAGCCTCCCCACAAAACATTCCTGACGTTCTGGGTGTGCGTGCGCACGAGGCCACGGGTCACGCTTGGACTCGCTGGTGGTGACGGCACAGCCCCACCGGGGGTCGGGGGGATGGACCCTGTGCCAGGGCACAGCATCACTCACGGCCCCCGAACACAGCGGGGCCTGGGAGAAGCACCTTTAGGCTGAGAACAGACTGAATTCGGCTCAGCAGTGGGACCTGCAGGTCAGGGGCTGCAGGACCGGGACGAGCCAGAGCCGGGCAGTTGGCTGCCACCCCCCAGCTCGCTCCCAGCCCGGCAGGCACGTGGCTGAGCCGCAGGGTGCCCGGGCAGGCCGGCCGTGCCATGGGCTGGGTGGTTACCTATGGTTGGGTTTTACACCTGCAGGCCCAGGGAGAGGCCACAGGGCCCCAGCCCAGGTGAGGCTGGACCTGGGAAATCCCCGGCTCTGGGAGCCAGGTGCCCGCCCGGCTCTGGCCACTGCAGCTCCTGAGCGAGGGCGAAAGGCAGGTGTTTGGGGATCCCAGGAATCACCAGGGCCCGTCACCCCCTGCCCCAGGACCCCCAGGACCGTCCTGCCGGCTGCGGGGCAGGGGTTCCCTGTGCACGTATGTGCCTGTGACACCGCGTGTGGCGGCAGCTCCGCTGCAGGGGCTCGGTGACCGGGGTGCACCGACGGCTCCCCGGTGCTGGGGCGAGGAGGAAGCTGCCGACACAGACTCGCCTGTTTGTTTGTTTAACACATGAGTCATTCCCCGATCACAGCGTCCCCGATCACGGCGTCCCTGTGTCCGTCCCCACCTGCCTGTGCTGACTCACTGCCGGCCGTGACACCCCACTGCCACCCGCCACTGCCGCCCGCCGGACCCCGGCCCTGCGCAGGGGCTGCAGCCCCTCGGGGACACGCGGGGTCCGCTCAGGAGGGCGAACACCGCCCTGCTCGGCAGCACCTGGGGCAGGAGCTGGTGAGGGCCAGGGCTGAGGGGGCTTGGCCGAGGCCAGTGGCAGCACCGTGCAGGGTCACAGGTGGTGACAGAGGGCAGGAGGCCACAGGCAGCGTGGGCAGTGTGGGCCAGGGCGATCTCAGCAGAGCCCGAGCGGCTGCACCAGTCATTGTGAAAGTGAATCTGGTGAGCAGGGCCTGGGAACGGGTGAGTGGGGAGGGGGCAGCTACTGCACCTTGCTCTGACTCACTGAGGCTGCCCGTGCCGTGGCACTGCACCTTGGGCACTGCGTGGCACCGCCAGCGCAGCACCCCAGGCACTGCACAGCACCAGTGACGCCAGCACAGCACCCTGAGCACTGCACAGCACTGCTGGCCCCTGGCTCAGCACCTCCGCACCACAAGGCACCACTGACTGCCCCCCTCTGCAGCCAGCTGTCCCCTACCCAGGTCCCCCGTGCTGCCTGTGGCACCCCGGCCCCCCACCCGCCACTGGGCCGGCAGCCAGAGCAGCTGCAGAGCCTGGTGCCAGAGGTGGCCGAGCGCCAGGGGCA